AAAACCAAATTCAATTTTCTGAAAAATCGATTTTGCGTAAAAATTCCCGTTTTTCCTTAATTTTTCTTTTGAATTTCTTTGCGCTTTTGAAAAGTACTGGGAATTTTAAATTTTGACCTTCTAAATGCACCAACTAGATTCACTTTCCAATCGAACAAGATACTGAAGTTGAAAATTGAAGCATTATTTCGACTACTTATCGTCTACACAGATACAAAAAAAAACACATCATTGTAAAATCAATACATTCATCGTTCCACTCAGAATCTAAAACTAATATTAAATAAAAGATACGATAATATAGGTATATGTTGTAGAAAAGAAATGAATATATAATATAATTTTACTTTTTCTTTCCCCTCCGTGGCTCAGTTATCCACAATTCATAAAATTCACTTACTAGTAAATAGTAATATAAAATACTAATTTATTTATAATTTTTTTTTTTTTTTTATTGATCTTTAAAGCCCGGTGGCGTATTTAAGGACGAGCTCGGCCACACCTGGCTGAAATGCGATTTTATTGGCAGTTAGACCGGTGTACATGGTTATCACTTATCAATTTATAACACCTTGGGTGTTTAAAATTTTGTATAACATTTTCTCACTTTTAGTTTTTATTCAAATTTTTGTTATTTTTTCCTATCCTTGGAAAACCTATTGTGTTAGACAACATTTTAGAACCACTTTTAGCACCCAGAATATGGTAATGAATAAAAATCTTAAATATATAATGAACATTAAAATATAATATCAAAATTTTACATTTGTACAATCTATAATCTATATAGTATTATGGAATTTATTTTCCTAAATGTAATATTATTTAGTTTTTCATGAGTATGTTATTTAAATAATACAAATTATGAAATCGCAATGAAACAAGAAATAAAAAATTGTACTTCGGTAAATGTACATACTTTTTACTTATAAAGGACATTTTTCCAGACTAGTTAATTAGCATATTATATTATACATATAGTAATATACTAATATGTATTATTATCATTATAATTTTTAGAATAAAAGTGATAAAATAAAATTTAAATAAACAAACACTAAATATTAATTCAAAGCTGAAAACTGTAGTAATACATAGGGTTTGTACTCGTAACCTTCTGAAAACCAATAAATGTAAGCACTTTTTAAGATAAAAATGTGGTAAAATTATACATTTTTCATGGATTTATGAAATGAAAAATAATATATAGGTACAGTAGTTCTTTAGACTTGAGTAAATACACATTTTACCTATAAAGGTAATTTACTCAGAATAGTAGTAGTAATACTATGTACCTAGCACATAAAAAACATATTTTAATTGGTCATATAATCTATAAAACTTATTTTTAAAATTAAAATTAAACTACTAATCAAAAAAAATTAAATAAAAACAGAACACACACGTTAATACATAATATGCCACATTGTATTCATACTAGCCTTATAATACTACTCTGAGAAATTTGCATTTATAAGTTATAAGTGCATTTTTAGAAAGAATTTAGTAGGTATAATATATAATGTGTATATTATTTTATTTTACTACCAATTATAATACATATTATTACAATTTAACATGATATTAAATAGGTCTGAAAAAATTTCCATTTTAAGTAAAAGTAGGTACCTACATTTACTGAAGTACCATTTTGTTATATTTCCAAGCATATTAGAAAATGATCGAAAATTAGAGAAGGTATTTATATTTTATACAAACTAGATTTTCATGAATAATATGCATGTATAATATATATATAATTTGATTTACATGTAGGTATAATAGAGCGTGATACAATATGTAATATGTTATTGTAATAAGTGTTATACAAATTGCGATAAAAATGTATTTTTATAAGCATTTAAAGTTCAAAAATTGTAAAAATATGGAAAAATCACGAAAATTAGCGAATTATTTTGAGTTAAGAATTTGTAAAAATTTTTCTTTTTAAATCTAAGATTTGAAAATGTAATACAAGATTACTCATAAGTTTGTCTACCTTTATCAATAAAAACATCTCTACCGGAAAGTCAAATTAAATTTTTATGAGCGTTTGAAATTCAAATTTTTACAACATTGGATGTTCACTCGATTTCTCATGTAGCGATTTCCTTATTTTGTTGTAATTCAAAAACGAATAACTGTAGATACATGAAAATTTCACTGAATGCTTATATTAGCATTTCCTATACACCATACAATTTTGAAAATATTTTGACTCTTTTTGAGCTGTTTATGGACATTTACAGCTTTCAATTTTTTTAAGTTTTTTTTTCTATAAATATCAATAAAGTTTTATCTGTTGGGCCAAAAAGTGTAAAAATTTAATACAAGGCTCCTGATATATTTTTACAATATCAGTTGAAAAATATTAAAAATACATAGTCACAGTTTTTTTTTATAAGCATTTAAAGATCAAATTTTGACAAAATGTATCAAATTCTCGAAAATTATCAATCATTGTAATTAATAAATTATAAAATGTTCAGTTTTTATAGCTAAGGATTGCAAATTCAACACAAAGGTTCTCGTAAATAGTTCATACTGTAACCAAAAATACTAAAAAATATATGAACACAGTTATTTTTACAGACATTTTAAATTCAAATTTGGACGAAATTACATATTAAAAAACCTAGAATAACTATTTTAGTTATTTGTTGTGATTGAATAACATTATTCGTGGGTACTTGAAACTTCTAAAGTGTGCTATTATATATCTATGATAGTATCACGGTTTTTGTTGATGTTTAACTCGTTACCAGTACCAAATGGATATTGTGATATGATTAATTTGGAATTTATTATAGGTACCTATTATAGGTCAATTTTTTGTTTAATACCATAGATATGTATATAATATGTCTTATACATAGACTGACATACCGTCTCCGCTCAGAATCGTTTTTCTTATACAATGATATTATATCGTTGAATTCAAATTTAATATCATCCATTATACAGTGACCCACTTGTAACCTACTGTACAGCAGAGCGACACCCACTTGCCCACCTTTTTTGTTGTATATCTTAAATGTATTATTAATATTTTATATTTTTATCTAATACCTATATAATATTATTGAGCAATTTCCCGTTTTATTCGTTCGAATAAACTATTATTATTATATTTAAGTGGTGTCATACTGTCATATTGTACAATATATGGTTTTTAAAAATACTCTGATAGTCAATTTCTAAACGTCTCTAAAAACAAAGACACATATAAGTTGTCTCTTAGGTCTTACTGTCTTAGCAATCTCTACTTATATAATTCTAAACTAGTAAGTACCTACTAAAAATTTTACTCTTAAACACCACTTTGGTAAACAAATTATTTAAACCTATATGTTGGATGTATTATCATACAAAAACAGAAAATTACACGTCAAAAATGTTCTTAAACCTAATATAGGGCTATTATAGCTATCTATATTACACTTTTCTATCATATTCGTTAATATCCCGATTCCCGAGAGTCCGCCATCATAATCATTATATTATAGATTTGTAATATTATGTATATTATTACCCATATTATGTATAATAATATGATATACCATAATATCATAATATATATATATATTATACAACTACTGTAACTATAATCAAACGGCCCGGGAAAAACGCCTGTGTATAGTTATATAGTGTTTTTTTTTCCATTCCGTTTGCCCTTCTCCAAATCCCTCCCCCCCCCTAGCCTGAATGAAATATAATATTGTACTATTTACACACCAGAGACAGGCGTCTACCCTCTCATCGCCACCAACACCCCTACCATAGACATATCATCATACTAGAGTACACACAATAATACAAATAATACCCTTACACGTATATGATATACAATAATAAATTGTGTATAGGATTTCACGCGTAAACTCGGCGAAGGTCGTAATACACCTCGTAGAAAAACAGATCCGTCAATAACTCACTATAGCAGTGGGGTCGCCGAATATACCGGGTGCGGTCAGGGTGCGGTGCGCCGAGGGTGGAGGAACACAAAGCGATGACGTAAAAGCACGCTGGATGAGAAGCTATATAGAGAAGGCGAGTGGCCCTGACGATTGCGGAGAGGTGAATGAGAAAATACAGGCTTAGAGGGTTGGTGGGGTTGGTTCTGCCGGGGAACGTGTTGCTGCAGTTTAACGATTACGGCCTCAGCAGCCCGGCCACAATATATACGTCGCCGCCGCCGAACGTATATATAGTCCGCGAGAGCTTTTCTTTTTCATTTTCCTCAACCGATTACATTTACGTATAGGTAGGTGTAAGTATAGACACCGCGCGTAACAACAGTATGCTTGTATGTACGCAGTTATATATACATAATACCCGACCGTTGTAATAACAATAACGAAATATAAAATATAATATCAAAAGGATAGAAAGCTGGTGTATACCTACGTGATATCGCACGGTTAAAAAAGGATAAATCCATCATCTGACGCACCTGCGTATACACACATACACAAGCTTACAGCTGTGTAAAAATATAATAATATGAAGGTGAAAAAAATCGGCGATGGTGGATTTGTCGTCCGAAGAGTGAGCGGGAGAGTTAGAGAGCCTCTCCGCCTTTCCTTCCCCCACTCCTGTCCGAAAGCAGCCGTTGTAAGCCGAGTGTACGTAGTGTTTTACCTTCGCAGTGTATGCATGTGTGTGTGTGTATAATTTTTATATAAATCTATGTTTGTGTATGTTTGGTACACGCGCGATCTGGGTCAGTGAGTCACGCGCACGATTGCGGTAGGGCGTGCAGCGGTAGCTACGATAACGGCGGCGACGGGCAACAGCGGCGCTCCACCGGTAGCGGCGGCGACGACGACGACGACGGCGACTACGGATTTGTTTTGCCTAGTTTTTTTTCCCACCGTCCTTCGTCGGTTAATACGATCGTAACAATCAACGAGCGCGGACTAACAGCAACAGTAATCCATAAAATAATACATAGTACAAACATATTATTTTATAACTCACCCGTCGATTGTCTGCTCGCGATGACCAGCGTTTCGGAAATACTGTCGTACGACAAGTCGTCGGCCCAAGACGACTTCTACCAAATGTTGGGATGCGACCAGACGTCTACGGTGAGCCGATTACGCTTATTATTATATTTTGTAATTTATTAATATTATCATTTTGTGAAAATAGTAAGTAGTTTGTATCTCTGTTATATAATTATGAGATAAAGTACCTACTCGGTGAATTAATGTTGACAATGTTGTCATTATTATTATATTATCTATAATAGTTATAGTAATAATAGTATGTATAATGTATGTGCACAAGTTTATCACCCTGCATAATATTATCTAGTAGGTAAGTGTGTGCTCGTTCAGCACGATATACTGACAGTGCACTTTTTTCCAGAATTATTATTATACCACCATAGTACACTGCGGCGGGTGTAGGGATGATACACAATATAGCGTGCAGAGTTACAAGCAGGGTATAAAAACCGTTTATTATAAATATATAAATAAATATATTATCATTATAATTTCCCGTCAGTCGTCGCTACTGATTTCTCGCACCAAGGGTAATTTACGATTTCACTATTTCAGCACACATTAACACGTCATATGATTTATGTATACAGGGTGATTTATCATGTATGTTAACCCCCTTTTATCCTTGAATAATGTGTTTATTCAGACTATAATTTTTGAGTACTTTTAAAGAACATCTTTATATATATAATTATACTGTACGTGTGTTTGTAAGCGAACTCCTCCTAAACGGCTTGACCGATTTTGATGAAATTTTTTGTGTATGCTTTAGTGGGCCCTAGAATGTTTTAGATTCACAATCGGACCCGATAGGCCCATTCCGTGGAGGTGCTCAAACCGGAATTTGAGATTTATAATGGATATTTTTGCTTATAGATGGTTGCCATGGGTCTTAAAGCTATTATAATAATAAATATTGGTTGCCGTGAAATTGAATGTTGTGTGTAGATTAGCAGGGCCGTAGACACGGGGGGGGTTTAGGGGGTTCAAACCCCCCCTTGGAAAGTTCATAAATTTATTTCAAATATTTAAAACTACTAATATATCTTATATATTAAAAAAAAAATTTTTATCAATAATAGTTATTAATAATATTTTAGATGTTTGTGTTGTTAAGGGTTATAAGTAAGGTATTTTGTGTATCGTCTAATGGTCGCAATGACAAATCACCATTACCAAAACCGTTTAGTTACTGTGATAATTGATAATCTTATTATATGTTTATGTTGATAATACTGAAATTTAAGATAACATATTAATAAGGTATTATCAGTATTATAGTTAAAACTTTAAAAGTTAAAACCGTGCTAAAAAAAAACATAGATTTGAGAGAAATGATCAGTTTGGCCAATATCAGTATCAAGGTTCTTGACAATTTAAGGGAAAATGTAGATCATGAATTTAAAAAAATGTTCAAAGAAGCTCAAGTAATGAATGCCTTAAATTCAATTTTAATGTTCATTTTTTTAACTATAATTATATTTTTAAATAGAGATTGCCTCAGATGTTAGACTTTGAAATATCAGTCAAACAGCTGAAAAAGAGTTAAAATATTTTCAAAATTGTATGGTGTATAGGAAATTCTAATATAAACATTCAGTGAAATTTTCATGTATCTACAGTTATTCGTTTTTGTATTACAACAAAATAAGGAAATCGCTACATGAGAAATCGAGTGAATATCCAATGTTGTAAAAATTTGAATTTCAAACGCTCTTAAAAATTTAATTTGACTTTCTTATAGACATTTTTTTTTTTGATAAATGTAGATAATCTTATGAGGAATCTTGTATTACATTTTCAAATCTTAGATTTAAAAAGAAAAATTTTTACGAATTCTTAACTCAAAATAATTTGCTAATTTTCATGATTTTTCCATATTTTGTCAATTTTTGAACTTTAAATGCTTATAAAAAAAAAATTGTGACTAAGGATTTTTAATATTTTTCATCTGCCTTTGAAACAATATACTAGGAGCCTTCTATTAAATTTTCAAGCTTTCCAAACAACAAATAAAATTTTATTGATATTTTTAGAAAAAAAACTAAAAAAAAATGGAAAATAAAAATGTGCCTAAACAGTTCAAAGTAAATCAAAATATTTTGAAAATGTTATCGTGTATAGAAAATGCAAATATAAACAACCAGTGAAAATTTCATGTATATACGTTTATTTGTTTTAGAGTTACACTAAAAACCAAAATCGATTTTTCGGAAAACCGATTTAGCGTAAAAATTCCCGTTCTTCCATAATTTTTATGTTGTTTTTCCCGGTGCTTGTGAAAATTACTGGGAAATTTTTACTTTTGACCCCCCAAAGTACCAACTAGATTCACTTTCCTATCAGAAAAGCTACTGTTGCATGTAACAGTACTATAACATGTTATTATTATAATAAACCCCCCCCCATATAAAATTCCTGTCTACGGCACTGTAGATTAGACCTCTGGGAAGAAGATTGGCTAATTTAAAAATGGTTAAATTAGGTTTTTTTTATTCATCTGATTTTATTACGGTTAAGTTAGGTTAGGATTTTGTATTAATTGATTATATTAATCCACCATAGGTAGAATACGACAAACTTGGTATAACTTTGATACTTTAGAGTTAAATCATACACTTACCCTTACGTACAAACAGCACGGGGTCCGCCATCTACAGCAGGTAGATTGCCTACCTGATAATGTACTGCAGCAAATCAGAATTTTTATTCCGGGCAACGAAAAAGTTAAGATTAATTTTGAAACCATACACCGAATATTAAATTTCGAATTGAACAAAGTTTGATTTGTTCATTGATCACCAAAGGGCACTCCTAAAATGGTAGCTATACAAATCAAAGTATTTGAAAATATGGTCTTTAAATATACTTAAAAATTCAAAAAACCAGAATTTGAATAAATACATTATTTAAAGGATAAAAGGGTAGTGGGTGATCATGGTTGGTGAATCTTCCTGTATAATACGTATATAATATTTAGACATACAATTAGGAATACATTATCGTGACCGTTAAATTATATTGTATACATACGCAATGGTCAGCGGAGAAGATATACCACTACAGGATGGGAAAAGGTCGTAAGGATTTATACAAAGGCCTGACATACCTGCGCTCGAGAGGGTGAGTGTGTGTTTGTGTGTGTGTGTGAATTGTGCGCTGACTAGCACACCGTTGTCCCGTAGCACCAGTGGCAGTGAATTCAGATGAAACGATATAGATATTATTAATTGATCACTGATGTTGGTAAGCGTATAATATTGTCGAACTGCTCATTAATATAATATGTAATATTACATTATTAAGCACACGAAGATACTAGAAAAATACACTCGTGCATGATTGAAACACCAGACATGATGGTGATAATAATACAACTAGAAGTAAATTCTAATATAAATATTAAGCATGTAAAATTTACTTGAGGTATATAAAATTCAAATTGAGTACCACGTTGGGATAAAACCACGCGACATATTAATCCGTTCACTCCACGCTGTTTTTAATGGAACCATAACAAGCTCGACCAGGTTCACTATTATCAGTTTATAATTTATATATTTTAATATTGTATACATGATATAATTAATAGTATATAGGACGTGTATGTTATTGTGTATAGGCACAGCGGGTTACATGAAAATATAGTGATATGGTTCATACTTCATACAGTATGTGGTATAGCCGTTTGTATACTTTATTTCGTCGAGTATCGTTTATTTTCGAGTAACAGTTCATACAACATGACACGTATTTCGTATCTACATGTTATTTCGTAATTAAAGCGAATGTCGTTATACGAAATTATATTATATATACGAGTATACGACAATCAGGCCATACGGGTATAATATACACTAGATTAAAACGTCACCTCGACCATTAAATGTTTTTGATGGGTATTATTTGTTTTTTAATTAATATTTGTCAACCTAATAATAATTGAACCTCCGATGCGATGCAATTCGATCAAACAAACGAAATATATATTTTTTTTTTATATAATATGTTAAAATTGTTTAAAGGTACCAACATGCACGACATTTTGAACGTTTTAATTAATTTCGATCATAGCTGCTACACGCTTGGTTAGCTATTATAACAAAAATGATAAGTACGAAGTATACCTATATAAATATAATACAGCCCTATGCTAAAAAAAATGTATAATATATAATATTATATCATTATGTATATTGTATTATATTTTTATGTAATATGTACATATTGTACATATCCTGCAAAAATTACGGATATTGTATTTTATATTATAGTCGTTTGACATTTTATCATTAATTTTTCCTTTAACTGAAAAAAAATTACGATTTGATCGATTACAATATTTTATAATAATAACATACGTAGGTACTACATGTTTTCCTAAATGCCAACTTTTTTACGATGTGCATCAAAACAACACGTAAGAAAAATAGTATGTTCAGCTATTTTTCCAAGGTCCGCTATTAAAATTGTTCAAATTAATATTTTCTACAAGGTCTTATCTGTTGAATGATTTTAATGATTTCGAAATGTATTCAGTGTAATCCAAAATATTACTTTCACCTAATGAAGTTTCAGTAATTTGAATATAATATAATAATATTCTCTTCTATTGTACATGCTAATATGCTTAATAATAGATGTATAATAGGGACGACTATAACCGCTTTATAATATAAAATAAATTAATAAAATATGCGTAATAATTAAAACGTCATAATAATATATTAATGTGTATGGTGATTAAATAGTGTAAAATAGTTTAGAATTCTATATTTCGATTTTTTCTTTTTCAAAATGATGAATGTTTAAAAACGATGTAGCTGTACTACCAATGTTCTATTGTAGTATCTATCTATAAACAAATTTTAAGCCACATTAAAGTTAAAAAATATACAATAATAATGAAACACTTATCATCATACTGTTAGTTAAACTATATTCTAAAAAAGTTACAATGTATTATAACTAAGTAGTAAGTACCATCTAAGATTTATAAAAGTAAGTATTTTAGTAATTCAAAGTGAATTGATCCAGTTGTTTTACCGTAATTTATAAATCAGTTATAATCAGAAATCAGAATACACTATAACTTATAAGATCAATGATATTCTAGGTCTTAGGTAACATAATATATTAGATGCCTATAGATAATATAGTAAATAGACGAACAGTCTGTATAGTTATTGATTGGTACATTATAGTTTATTATTCTTTTTAGTTTCCTTTTTGTACCACTGTTATATAAGTAATAAATATTAAATACTATAAAAATAATATTACTTATAAGTTATAAACAATATTTACAGATGTTAAATGTTTGAAATATATTTCTGTGGTTCTCTAAAGTCGAGAAACATAATTTCACAAATATTTAAATGCGCATTAGAGGTTTGAGGTCTTTTAACTAAATACCTACTTTCCACTATAGGTATGTATATTATACGGTCAGACACTCGACCACATAATCCGGTAACAGCCGAAAAGCGTATTCTACAAATGACCGTAGACCAAACATTCACTGAATACACACTAGCAAAAATCTTAATGTTTATTCATATTTTCCAAATGTTGTAAAATAAAATTAACCAAATAATTTAGGTTAGTACATTACCTATGTTTGTATGTGGGTTTATCCGATGGTTCAATTTTTATTAAGTTTTGCGTATGTAATATTATGGCGAATAGAAATGCTCATAATTCACTTAAAAACTGAAATATCGTAAAAAAACCACACACAAACACAGATAATGTTCCTGCTATCAGGTTTCATAATAGGTCAATTCAATTTAATTTTTAAAATGACAAAGCTAAACGTGATCTGCTGAACGTAAATTTGCCATGTTACGCACTTGTAAGACGGAGACAACAAATGCCCGTGTTGGGTCATCTTAATATAATTGTATTAAAACTATTTAAAACTAATTGAGTGTATTATAAATTATAATAACCCAATCTCCTCGTGCAGTTTGATTTACACACGGTTAGTGTTATTATTATTTATATTTCAGTCTATCACATAATTAGGTATACAATATTATCATCTTCATTGTTTACAAAAAAATGTCAATACATTATGTTATCAACTACTACATCATATTATTATGAACATATTTATTTTACTTGTATGCAATTTGAATAGTTCATTGTAGATACTTTTATATTATATTGTTCAAACATTGTAATATTGAAATGTAATAATAATTTATTTATATTGAAAACGTGAATCGTCACGTCAGTGAAATTAATTGAGGTAAATTAAATACTCGTATAACTGTAATACAATTAAAAAATGTTTTAATTAAAGTAAAATAAACTAATGATAATTCGATTTATTTTTAAATACATCTATAAGTAATTTATATTTTTTGGTATTACACTAATCACACAATAAATCAATAAACTTCATACTTTTGAGTATGTACCTAGTTATTATTTATTTTATCTAAATTAAAATTGTTTAGGTATACTGCTTACATATCCTATTTGTATGTTCGAAAATGAATACAACCTTTAAGATACCTACTTAATATTCTAATTAGCCAATCGGTACTTACACTTACCAAATTTTTATTCGAAATAAACAATCTGAAAAACAGAATGAAAAAGTTCTGTCAATAGTAAAATTATTAATCTTTATACCATGAGTGTGGGAGCAGTTTGTTGCTTTTGGTCCTTTTTTTTATATGCACCCAGCAATAAATCTACATTCTACATAAGTACCTAGGTCCTAGGTAGTAGGTATAATGGATTTTATTATATTTTTAACCTGAGCAATCGATTCATATAGATAGGTAATAGGTATTCATAAGGTACTCATCCTTACAATATCGTTTATTTTACTTAAAAAGTACAGCAAAAAAATTAAAGCTAGATATCAACCTACTGCTAAATAAATTATTTACAGTTACTATTTAGTATTTATACATTTTTCTTGTTTTATTTTATTATATTATATTAATTTGTCCATAAATTAACCCATGTTATATTAAATTACATTTGACGTTTTTTTTTTACAATGCTTACTGTGGTCCTTGGGGATGGAATTATAATAAACGAAAGTGGCCTGGTATCAAAATGTTGAAGACCCATGGGTGTTACTCTATAGTCTATACTTAGTAGAAACTTATATACATTGTTATTTACATATTGTATGAAACATTCAATATATTAAAATAAATTATCATATATTTTGTCTCTGAATTAGAACTTAAAAGTTCTACAAATGTGCAGGGCTGGCCTAAGAAGGGGGGCGAAGTGTACCCCGGCACCAGGCCCCGCGCTTTGCACCTTTACCTTATCAAAATTACTTAATACTTGAGCAACAATAATTTAAAGTTTATAAATGTATATATATTATATTATTTATTTTATTTTATTTGACAATTTATTATATAGTAGATTTGAGTGTCTTATTATTCTGAATTGGTAGGTATTCACTATTCATATTTATTATTATTGCTATCACAACATTTTTTTGTCAAGTTTTGTGATCTTGGTGTAAATCAATATAAATTCGTAAAAAATACTTGGTAGGAATGTGTATAGTTAAGCAGACTGCCTGCCTATATAATAATGACATTTTAGGTGTCGTTGTTCCTTCGAAAATTATGTGTACGAATGAAAAGTGTTCGAATTTTATATATTAGAAAATTTAAATGTTCGAGTATTATTTTTATTTTGGAATCAACAAAATGTAATTTTTCGGTAAAAAAATTAATTATTGTTATTATTATTTATAATTCAACTATACAATTAAACATGATATTATAACACACTACACAATCAGTAGTCCAGTAAGCGTAACAAATTCATGAAATCGGGGAGACTTATTCATTAAGCACATTTATTTAAACCATTATTAAGGGGCCCTACTATTGACCGAATCGTGTGCCAATAGCCATTTTGTATATTTTGTTAAGTATTCAAGAAGAGAACTCTTTCATAAAAAAAATTATTTCGCACCAGGACCCGCAAATCCTTAAGCCGGTACTGCAAATGTGCAGTAATTTAGACTTAAATATGATAACACGTACGTCGTACGTAACCGCTACGAATATCAGTGGCATTTTTTTTATAAATTCCGAAATTTATTGGTATACAATTAGGTACTAATAGGTGATATGTTTTAATAATTAAATAATATTATAGGTAACTATACCTGTTCAATGTTTGATTTAAATAAACAACTCCCGTGCTTCAGTGAATCGAAATCGGAATTATTATAATATATTTTCAGGTTGACAAAATAATTTACTTTAAAGTCAACGATGTATAAAGATGTTTGCATACAAATATTTTGCATAAAAATAATTTCAATAGAATATTATATTTTATTTTTTTCAATGAATGAAATATTGAAGTGTTATATAACACGAAAGACTTACGAGGTACGACACCTGTTGCTCATTCATCAAATGCATACAGCATCTTTCGTCTTTTATTCAAAAACGGCTTGCTTTCCGAGCGCTTTCATCATTGAGTGGACAAACTTCAGCCCATTGAAGCTATTTATATACCTACAAAATGCAAAAGGTAAAGCCATACGCTTTTCACGTGTAGAATATATACATTATATCCATACCAAAGGATTTGACAAAACACATTATATAGGCACAACATACAGTTGCACGCACGGCACTACTGAAAACATTATATTATACAATTGAACCTTAAAAGTTTACAAAACTCTGTATTATTGCTCACACAATACACGTAGGTACACACTGAACTACACTATATAGTAGTTATGTATAATACTACTTGGGTGTCAACTCAAGACAATACAATTTTATTAAGGCCTCTGAAAATAGACAAAAATTATCATGCAGTATGCACAATGCACGTAACTTTGTCGGCATATATGTAACACTTGCGGGTTTCCATGTGTGTTGTGACTCCTGTACTTATACTAACCTATATTTTTATAGTTTAGTAGGTGGCAGGTTGTTCTGTGTAGGATGATGGATGCAGTTTATACATATGTGGCTATGTGTTATTAAAACATCGTTTCGTATATCTCGTTGACCGTAAAATTCACTTAAATCAAATGCTTTCATTATAAAATAGATATGTAGGGAACTATATTATAAGGTACTTGTATGGTTGTATGTATATTATTTGATAACTTTTTATAACTAATGCGATTCCAACTTAGGAACCCAACTTTATCAGTTAAATACATATTTTACTCTACCGACGATGTTAATAGATACCTACTGAAATGAGGAGCATATATTATTAATATTATTATTGATTTTGCAAAACACCAAACAAAATATTTTTCACTTTGTAGTCAATTTCTCTAAACTCGGTCGTCACTATAATATACTATCACGGCAACTTCAAACAAATGTATGGCTATATAGGTATTATTTTATATTATAACTGAAAGGTTGGAAAATGCAACACCTGAAACCGTTCCACAATTAAATTATTTACGATGAAAGCATTATTAATTGCGGTTGGTAAATTCAATTGTTGGACGTTCGATATGAGAGTACTGTTTTTTAGACTAAAAAAAAGATATAATCCAAAAAACAGGGGAAGAGAACAATAACACTGCGACTGAACTAAATACATGGAATGTTTATTGTGTATAATTCTCATATTAATATGTAAAATTGGCACATTATTACGGGAGTCGACATATTCTTTCATTCCTGTTTGATTTTTAATATTAATATTATGATGATGTTAATAATTTTCATAGATAACATAACATTCCATCATGTTTTCCCATCACATAGGAATGCATATGGTGACTTCCAATCAGGACCATATTTTGATTAATAATCGCATTCCGTGAGTTTAGTTTAGTGAGCACTGCGATAGTGCGATAATTTATAGATTAAATGGGTAATATACTAACAGTTTTTTTTCAACTAGGTACTTATGTGTATATATATATATAAATGCTTTATTACGATTCACGTTTAATGAATACGTAAAACATTATGTTAAACAGGTGGAACAAATAAGCGCAGAATTCAAAGTAAGAGCTCTTAAGTATCATCCGGATAAAAACTCCGGTGACAAGAAGGCGGAAGAAACGTTCCAGAAACTTAATGTAAGCAATATAACGGGCGTTCGCGCCTCGTTTGATACGTAGGTACTTAATATTATTACCTACTATTTTTATTATTATTATCGTCTTCGAATGATATATTCGTGTGCGTTGTAGGAAGCTAAAGAAACGCTGTGCGATCCGGAAAAGCGGGCAACTTACGACAAATGGAAGAACAGCGGCGTTGCCGTTAGCTATAAAACGTGGCTGAGCAACAAAGAACATTTCCAACAAGTAAGGACTGTGAATTACATACAATACAATATGTAGTAGTGTTGTAATGGTGTATCCGTTCGTGTTAGACTCGTGTAAATTCGAGACATTAATAACAATATACTGCAGAGATCGAGCGTCCATAAATATGTAGGGCGCGTCGATTTTATTTTGTCTTTCCTCGAGGGCGTTACAGCTCAATAAAATGAAGTATCCATAATACTTACTACCTACTGCTAGCTGTAGCCCTCTATAACATAATATAAATACCGTATATACGATAATATAGTATTATAATAATATAATGTATAGCACACCGTATACCTACTAACAAAATAATTATTTTTTGGGTACTTTAGGTTCAAATCTTTGAATAACCTTCGCGAATGTTTTGTCGCCGATTTTAACTAAATTATATTTTTGAGGTTAAATAATCGTTTTAAAATTGCATTATTAAATTATGTATTAGAGGTGTTTTTTTTTTTACATTTTTTCCATCTAAATTTACCCGGAAAAAAAATGTCGATAAATTGTACGTTAAAAAATATTATCTCTAAATATAATCATGTTAAACTAAACTACACATTCGGAACGTTTATCGGAGTGTTTTTTTATCCGATTTATTTAAGCTTCACAAAAAAAAATTTCAGTAAACCTAGTACTTATGGGTTATTTTCGTGCGAGGTGGTAGTCATTTCGATATGATATTATACACTTTTAAATCAGGAACCGTGTGGAAATTATATGGTTCCACGCACTCGATCCATTAATAAATTCACGTGGTCGCCACACCCTGTGGATATAACATAGACTTTCCGGGACAACGATACCTAAACTTAATCCTTTAACTGATATAGTATTGGTACCTACCAACATCTAAGGGTTTTATACTTTTATTCAGTTTCGTATTTAACTTTGTTCAACTCAGCGTAGCAGTGTAGCACTAATTTCCATTACTAAGTACTAACCAATATACATAATACATAGGTAATACATATAACATTACATATAGGTACTTTAATACCTTTTCAACTGAAATTTATTATTCGAATTTTTTTTTTTCTGTCTACGCTTGCCTCGTGTAAATTTCATCAATCTAAAATGTTATAACTATTTTTTTTTCTTAATTATTAATTATCTGTGCGTTAACTCCAATGAAAAATAATATCATAATTCATAATAATTCAATTTTTTTTCAGTCTATGCACTGGGCACAAATGAACACTAAAGACAGAATGCTTCCGGAAGGCGGTGAAGGGGCTTCGTCTTCAATGGCGTCCAGGAGAGCATCTGAAGGTGGAGTGAACTTGGGAGCCAACAAAGTAAAATGGGACGCAAAATCTAATGCAGATATTATCAACAAGTTTCGCAATTACGAGATATAAGTAGCGTAGATATTGTCTATGAAAAAAAAACATTCCTTCATCGAATAAAATATACTTTTAACATGATATAATATAAATTCATATAATTTGTACTTATATAATATTATACTGACTCTTATAAAACACATCTTTACCCGAGGGCCTGAGAAGTAAAATACGGTAAATAATAATTATAATTGCACCTTAAAATCAACAATATTACTATTATTATTTGATTAAGCTTACTTCTAAAAGGGTATAAAATGAAACTTTTTAGGGTAAATTAGAGTGAATTTTCTTCTCAGACCTTCGAATTAATTGGATCTTCAAGAATTTCTATTGTAGTTATTTCTAAACAAAATACTGTTCAACTATTGTCTAGTCATTAAACAGTAAATGATACTTGACGTTCACAATTAATTGAATGCTATTTTGAGTCGAGTAGATTATATTACTCAAACCTAATTAATGTAGTTTGATATCACTATAATATCAGTCTCCCAAAACACAAATTAATTGTAACATCATGCAATTCTATGTTTCAAAGATGTAATACTAATAGGTAATAGGTATTATAATTTATAATATGATATGTGTGATTCTGTTATTATAAAGTTAGTGTATTTCTAAAACAATTAGCTAAGACACAGTATAATATTGATAGTATCGTGTTCAAGTTTATTGTATTATTTCATTGTAACGATTACAAACCGTACCTACCTATATTTTATAAGTTATCGGTGGTCATTCTTGTGGACCACGCCGATGTAGCTACGACCTCGTATATTACTATTTATTACGTTTACCTATTTATTATATTATAATACTATACTTAGTATATTAATATATACTTGACTGTATTGCCATTTCGGTGAGATATTGTTTCTCAAATTTGTAAAAATAAAAATATACATATAATGAATACAATACGTGAACTGTGTTATTAATATTATGAAATATGAACCCTTCATAAAAAAAATACGTCTGTGTATATGTTTGAGAGATATGAGTCCGTTTTATAAAATTATGTAGGGGAGAGTGGGGCAGATTTGAATGCGGGGTACATTTGAATTTGTCTAATATAATTTGTTACAGATTATTTACATTCATAAAAATAATAATCTAAGTTGGTGACAATATTTTGTATACCTATATGTGATTATCAGGCATTTTTGAATAATTTTGTGATAAATAAAAATGATAATGTGATTTTCCGGCTTTTTAAAAAAAAAAATAGGTGTTTCCATAAGAACATTTTGGAAACTAAAATTCAAAATAATAAGTTTAGAATTAAATATACCTATTCAAAATATTGTTGCCTAGTAATACATTTAATGTACATACATTATTTATAATTATTAAAATTTATATTACGATTATTATTGATTATTTTGGCATGGGGTAGATTTGAATCTTCATCAATAGGGTAGATAATAGGGTGTAATAAAGGTTCCTCCTTTTTGAAATATCTATCTTATGGATGGAATATACTAGTTAACTGGATTTATGTCACAAGATGTGGATTTATCTATAAGAAAACCCAAAAATACTACATTTTCACAATAAAAAAAAAATTGACAAGAAAACATCTAAACATAATTGTAAAAAATTGTTATTATATTATATTGAGCTATTTTTATTATTAAAATAAATAAAAAGTTTAATTTAATTTAATATTTGACATTCAAATGTGGCTTTTAAGACACATATTCAAATCTACCCCCTGCACGTTCAAATGTACCCCATGGGTGGGGCACATTTGAATAAAAATATACTTCACTTCATAATTAGAAATTAAATTGGTTATTTAATATATAAGGTTGTTATAAGTCAAATAGTATTCACAACTATCTAGACTACAGATTGTAATTATCAAATATAAAATTTGTCAAAAAATTAAAAATTAAAAAAATAAAATGTAAATTTCATTCAAATCTGCCCCACTCTCCCCTACCTATAAATAATATGGGTAACTGGGTAAGTAATAGAAAATACAACTTATATTTTAAGTTATATGTTTGCAAGCTTGTATAATGCTGAGTTATACAGCTAATAAATATATATGTCTTAGGTCATATGGAAAATTAGTCTTTTTGCGAAAAGACTAGGCTTTTTGCAATGGGGTAGCCCGTTTGAGAACTACTTATTATTTTTCCTAACAGCAAACAGTCTACTGTTCTTCAGGCTTATTGCGTACGGATTAACAGCATTTAGGCCTTTTTAGAACTACAATCATTATAATATGATCACAACCATTTAACTTATTTTACATATCAAGTTTAGTTTATTTTAAAGTTGTATGTAACATGTAAACTAAATTATTATATAGTATATAGGTACTAAAGAAAATATGTAAAATATTAAATTAAATTAAAATATTAAAAGAATATTACATTACAATATTAAATATGTAAAATATTTACTTATTGTTACCTACGTGTAGTTTTTTGTGACACCTTGAATTACACAGTACATTATTTTTCCGACATACGCATCTATTTGTTTTGCATGATGTTTTGCAAAAACATTTCTGATAAAGTCATAACCCTGGTCTCAAAATTGTGAATGTTTCTTTGATGTTTCTTTTAATGTTATTATTGTATTTGGTACTTCGTCAAGAAATTCTGCATCGGTTGGTTGTAGAACATTTCTGCTTAACCACATGTTTATAATGCCAAACCGTGTACCAATTCGGTAAACAGTAAATATGTTGAAAGTCATAGTTTTAGTCAATATTCTAAGTTTAATAAACTAAAACTAAAACGAAAAAACCACAATAATATGTAACATTAAGTAAATATTTTACATATTTAATATTGTAACGTAATATTTTTTTAGATTATGAGTGGAACGATGAATGTATTGATTTTACAATGATGTGTGTTGTTTTTTTTTTTTTTTTAATTTATAATTTTTTTTTTTTGTGTCTGTCATCACCTTTTAGGACAGTAGAAGTGCTTGGATTTTCTTCAACAGTATCTTTTCTGATAAAGAATTAAAGTAAAAATTTCCCAGTACTTTTAAAAAGCGCCTAGAAAAACAAAAAAAAAATTAAGGAAAAACGGGAATTTTTACGCAAAATCGATTTTTCAGAAAATTGAATTTGGTTTTTGGTGTAACTTTAAAACAAATGACCGATACATGAAATTTTCACTGGTTGTTTATATTTGAATTTTCTATACACGATAACATTTTTAAAATATTATGATTTGTTTTGAACTGTTTAGGGACATTTTAATTTTCCATTTTTTTTTTAGTTTTTATTCTAAAAATATCAATAAAATTTTATTTGTTGGTTACGAAAACTTGAAAATTTAATAGAAGGCTCCTAGTATATTGTTTCAAAGGCAGATGAAAAATATTAAAAATCCTTTGTCACAATTTTTTTTTATAAGCATTTAAAGTTCAAAAATTGACAAAATATGGAAAAACCACGAAAATTATCAAATTATTTTGAGTTAAGAATTCGTAAAAATTTTTCTTTTTAAATCTATTATTTGAAAATCTAATACAAGATTACTCATAAGTTTGTCTACCTTTATCAATAAAAAAAATCTCTATCGGAAAGTCAAATTAAATTTTTATGAGCGTTTGGAATTCAAATTTTTATAACATTGGATACTCACTCGATTTCTCATATAGCGATTTCCTTGTTTTGTTGTAATTCACGAATAACTGTAGACACATGAAAATTTCACTGAATCTTTATATTAGCATTTCCTATACACCATACAATTTTGAAAATATTTTGACTCTTTTTGAGCTGTTTATGGACATTTACAGCTTTCAATTTTTTTAAGTTTTTTTTTCTATAAATATCAATTAAATTTTATCTGTTGGGTCAAAAAGTGTAAAAATTTAATACAAGGCTCCTGATATATTGTTACAATAGCAATTGAAAAATTTTAAAAATACATGGGCACAATTTTTTTTTATAGGGATTTAAAGATCGAATTTTGACAAAATTTATCAAATTTAAAATTGAATAATTATTTTGTAGTTAAAAATTTATAAAATGTTCAACTTTTATATCTAAGGATTGAAAATTTAAAACAAGATTCCATGTAAGTAGTTAATTCTGTTACCAAAAAATCGAAAAAAGACACAAGCACAGTTTATTTTTATAGGCATTTTAAGTTCAAATTTAGACGAAATTACATATTAAAATCAATATTAACGATTTTAGTTTTTTGTTGTAATTTAAAAATATTGTTGGGGGATATATGAAACTGAAAAATCAAAAATCAAAATATTATGGCATATCCATACAATTTACCATTGTACCTATAATGAATAAGAAGTATGCTATATGATAAGACTGTGCATATTTTTTTTATTACCATTGATATGTATATTATATGTCTTAAACCTAGACTGACATACCATCTCCTCTCAGAATCGTTTTTCTCATACAATGATATTATATCATTGAATTCAAATTTAAAAGCATCCATTATATAGTGACCCACTTGTAACCTACTGTACAGCAGAGCACATTTTTAATATTTCAATTTAATTTAAAATGGTTGTTATCATATTATAATGATTGTATAGTTCTTAAAAGGCCGAAATGCTGTTAGTCCATTTGCAATATGCCTGAAAAACAGCAGGCCGCTTGGAAAAATAATAAGTAGTTCGCAAACGGGCTACCCCATTGCAAAGAGCCTATAAGTCTTTTCACAAAAAGACTAATTTTCCATATGGCCTACGACATATATATAGGTACTGATATACGATATACATATTATAATAAAATGTATTCAAGTTTTGATCATATATAAAGTCCTAAATTATTTTTAAAAAAAATTACTCCACATTATCTATATACAAATTCAAATAATATATCAATAAAATTCAAGTTATGGTAATGTAATTAGTTATTTGTCAGTTTACCATATTATGTAGATCAGGGCCGTCCGGACGATTTGCGGGGCCCAGGGCAGAGTAAATTTGTGGGGCCTAAAATGTCATTATCGTCATTATTTAATAGTTCAATACTAGATAAGAATTTATATCTACGTTTACGATAAACATTATATTGGTTTTAATAATTTTATAAATATAATAAAATAAAATACAGAAAAATCTTTGTATATATGCTTAACTTTATTATTTATAAATATTTTAATCTTGTTTTGAACTTTTAGTTCTTGGCTATAAAAATTGAACATTATAAATATTTTTAAGTACAAAATAATTTGATAATGTTTGCATAAAATTGTGCCTTTAATTTTTATATGTTCATTACTTTTGAACTTCTAATATGAAATTACTTATGGCCTACATTGAATTTATTTTCCCGACATTTCGCATACATTTTGTCTTACGTGAAGTGTATACTATCTATGATTTCTGTTGTCTCAAAAAAAATATAATTGTTCTATAAACAGAATACCTAATGACCAGTGGCGCAAATAGGGCTAAAATGTTGGAGGGGGCTGTAGTATATTCAATTACAATAAGAAAAACTTATGTGGGATCTCGATATAAATCTTCAAGCTTATTTAACCCTTATTTCAACATTTTATCATAGCTGCATAAAAACGAAATTTGTAGTTGATAACTGATTTCAAGCAAAAATTTCTATTTTTCTTCAATTTATTATTTTTTTGTTTATCTCGGTTATTTTAAAAAGAATTTGGAATTTATACTTTTGACCCCTCTCACATCCTAAAAATAAAAATATTAACGAGATCCAATTTGCTAGCATAAATCACCCTCAGTCGAAGAATTTTCAATACTCGAATGCCTCTTAAAGCTCATCGCCAAAATAAAAACACACGATTGAAAAATTATAAGATAAAACTTAAAAACCGCTGTAGCTGTCGGACTTATTAAATTAAGTCTATCAAGTACTTTTTGGTTACAGAATATTGTATGAACTTAAGGGGGATACGGATTAAGGATACCAATTTGTCAGATTTTAATTTTCACGAAAGAAGTCATATAAAGGCAATACAGAGAGTACTTACTCACTATCTGCATGCACCTATAAACTCCAAATTCCACATACAATTATACGAGTCACGAGCTCTGTCATCTCAACTGTAGATAATATCTACTATTCATGCACGAGAGCGCATTCTTCAATTAAAAGTATATGTATACCAATTACCCATAGATATTGTAGATAATAAAATATATTGTTGTACATCTTCGTATTTACCTACCTACTTTGGGTCTGTTTTTATTTATTTATTTCGTATGGCTGGTATACAAATCAACCTTGCAGAAAGCTTAGAAAGTCTCAAGCAGTTTATTTAAATTATTTTTCCAAATGCCCGGATATGGGGCATGAGGCCCTACTCAGTTGGGACCCGGGATGCGATTGCATCCCGTCATCCATTGCCAGCCCGCCACTGCATGGACGTAATTTATGCATATTCAGATTTTCATAACGATAATTTGTGAACGCAGTTCGATAAAAATCTAAGACTTTATAAATTAAACTATAATATTGTATAATAATTTATTATCTGGTTGAATTGTTTAAATATCAAAATATAACACGATATTATAATGTTATTTATTTACATCACTACGGTTTACTTATAAACAGAGTACACTCACAATAAAATATTATTTTGTTGTACGCGCGCGTTGAACTCTATTTTCTGTAAAAATATGTATTTTTCGAAAGAATTTTTGATAGGAATTTCCTTTGCTTCCATCGGTATAGCTGGAGTGTCTTTCCTATTGTCAAGGAGAAAAAATCCAACTACACATGGATATGGAATGAAAAACATGGAAGACTTCTTGGAGGTAAACAAAATATAATAGATAATATCATGTAGGTTTATAATTTATATTATAACAATAAACGTTTAAATTCTATAATATTTGTCATTTTTAGTATAACCAACATATTAATTAGTTTCGGAGCAAAAACCTTGTGTGACTAGAGTGCATACCTGCAGGTTCTTGCTCTGAAATGTAATAACCTGATAAGTCCATTTTGCTTATATTATCTCCGTAATTAATAATCAGACATAACGGTTTGTTACACCGAAATGTGTAGTTTATTTCCTGATCAGGAAACCACAGTAAAAATACTTTTTTGAAAAAGGGGACATATCAGGTTTTGCACAGAAGGATTCCATACTTTTTAGCTTAGATAGGTATAGCCGTATAGCGGTAGGTACAAATATTTACCATAAGTGCCAATTTACACTTATGAGTTTGTAAATTTAAGTATTAGTAACAGTTGAAATTCACTAACTTTTAACTTGCACATTTAATTATTAATCTGTAACTAATATGAAATAATGACAAGTCGCATAATATATTATGTTGGTAAATTTCAACCCATATTAATAGTTAAATTTACAAATCATAAATATGAGTAAACTTCAACCATAGACCTACTGATAATTTTACACATTAAATAGGTTAATACAATATTAATTCAACTTCGATATGATTTTAAATTTACAAGTAATGCGAATATATAATAATATAGTACCTATTTATATTAATAGGACGAAAAGGATAAGTTTTTCGATGCGGAATCGAAAAGTTTTCGGTCCGTGTCCGATGATGAATTTGTAAGTTGTCGGAGCATGATGTCCAGTGTGGAATCTGTAAGTTTTCGAACCGTGTCCGATATGGAATCTGTTATTTTTCGGACCACGTCCGATGAGGATTCGGGAAGTTTTCGGACCATGCCCGATGAAAATTTGAACGACAACACAAAGATCGTAAAATCAATAGGAGGTCAGTTTTCCATATGATATTGAGTATAATTTTTTAATTAAAACTATTTTCATATAATTCCATACTTTCTAGAACTGTATATGGACGTGGTGGAAAAGCAGGCGTTCGAGGACCTACAAGTATGAAACTAAGAACGGCTTTGGAACAATCGAATGTAATCATATAATATCGCAGTGCTGATAAACGGTTTTGATTTGATTTTCAGCATAACTTTAAAGTGGTTGAAATGAATTGTTTGGCGTTGAAACATCACGTGGCTGACGCAATGTATACCTTTCAACAGACGGCCGACGATCAGCGCCTATCGATCGACAGCATGAAATTGGAAGTGTCTTGTCTTAAAAAAGATTTGAACCGTTTGACCTCCGATCTGCTGAAAAATACAGAGATGCAGTCCACGGAAAGTAATGTTATATAATATATCGACCTGACTATACCCATAACAGTGTAATACATTAGTCGTTTCCGTTCGTTTAGCAAACACCGAAAAACCCGACTGTTGCAAGCTACGTAGACTGAAGACAAGGGTCTCGGTTCTTGAAAGTAATATAATATAGAAAAATAACGGTTAATAGATAATAGAGTACTAATGGCGTGTGCCCGTGTAGGTGATGTGATGAAAAACTCGATAGATATCGTTGGAATAAACCACATGCTGATGTTAATGTTGCCGAGCTCGGGGGCTGCCGCTGAAAATGATGTGTCGGCAGGAGAAAACCTTTTCGAGCTGGACACTCTGAACGCGCAATGCCACAAACCTACCTCGCCGACGACGTCCGCATCCTTTACACTCGTCGCAGGCCCGCCTCCTGCGGAAACCTCGGAAAATTTTTGGCCGCCACCTCCACCTCCTGAAGTAACCTCGGAAAACTTTTGGCCACCACCTCCACCTTCTGAAGTAACCTCGGAAAACTTTTAGCCACCTCCTCCATCCCATGCTGTAACCGCAGAACATTTTTGGCTGCCTCCTCCGCCTCCTGCTGTAACTTCGGAAAACTTTTGGCCACCTCCTCCGTCTTTTGCTGTAACCTCAGAACATTTTTGGCTGCCTCCTCCGCCTCCTGCAGTAACTTCAGTAAACTTTTGGCCACCTCCTCCGTTTCATGCTGTAACCTCAGAACATTTTTGGCTGCCTCCTCCGCCGCCACCGATGACGACTGGCACGGCAGCGTTCCGCCGTTACCTTGCTGTGCAGAAGATATTAATAAGATAATGTATAATATATTCCATTTGTGTAACATATTATTATGTATTAGGTAAGTGTATTTCTGTGCATAAATGAATAAACCGGTTTAATAAAATATACCCGAGGTATTTGTTTTATAATGTAGGTTTTCAAATTACATTTACAATATTATTATGAGTTATTAAAGTCTCACTATAAGACTTTAATCATTTTTAAGTCCTGAAAAACTAAATGCATAATAGGTGTAGTTAAGAATTTTGATGGAAATGTGGTCATATAACCAGTGTTGAGACTTATTTAGATAATTTATCTAGATAATTATTTAGTTATCTTTTATCTTATAAGGATCGTGCGCATCCGTGCGTGGAGCCGAGGGGAAAGAATTGCAAACTTACTGCCGTGTGTTCATAACGGAGCTGAGGAGAGTTTGAGGGCCGTCGTCCTCAAGCCTGTAGCCCGTCCGACTTGAAGATCTCTTCCGTTATAGGTATACGGCAGTAGGTAGTAGGTGCGTGACCTTTCCGTCCGGCATATCTATAGATAATTACAATAGAATAGAACTTGACCAATGTATCAGCTATGAACCATTTATAATTTGTGTCATTTTTCTTAATTCTTCTATTCTATTGTAATTATCCATAAATATGCCGGACGGAAAGTCACGCACCTACTACCTACTGCCGTATACATTGTAGATAATCATCCATATTTTTATAACGACATTTATCAATGGATTTGATTTTTAACTACATGTTTATGACCTACCAAGTTAATATACCTGATAATATTTATTTCAAAATATTTTATTGGCTACTATTTTCAAATAATTTATGTGTGGGATATAGTAAGTAGTTGTAACAGGTTTAAATCAATTTAAATTGTCTAGTAAAAAGTATCATTAAATTTGAAGTGATAAATAATCAATCTTTTGAATACACATTTGGTCGAAACTTTCTATAGCTCACGTTTGTATGCTGATGTGTCTTTTAAGAATATCCGATATTTATATTAGTACTTACCTATAAATAATAAAATGTTTTATTTTTTTAAACAAAGCAACATAAATCGCAATGTATTCGCATTCAATAGCATAATATTTATATATCTGCGATTCATTGCGTTAATTATATTTAATAATATAATTATCAGACCATTAATTTTCTTTGAATAAATTACTTATACATTTAAATAATGAATAGATAAATAATTGAGTAGGTACAATATGTACATAGTTATTGGTGGAAAAAAATGGTATACACACATCGAATAACGTACAAATATGCGACTTAAGGATCGAGTTACACACAACTTATACGATCAACTGCGAAGGAAGTTTCACTTATAAATATTTTGAAAAATATGCCATTGCTTGTTATAGTTGTTATACAATTTATTATAATATACGTAAAATTCTTAAATCTCTGCAAATAAATTTATATATTCAATATACACCTCATAACACTATAACCCCTTTTCTGACGTACTTAACATTGAAACACTTGAAAACGGAGACACTCGAATGGCCTTTAATACAAACGGGCTGTTATCTGGGAAAATTGATTTACCATTCCTTTTCAACTTAATTAACTTTAAAGTCCCCCTCAACGTACTTTTCACCACTCCCTTCCTTTCTATGTTCCTCCCTATACTTCTAATTATTTAGCTAACGAACCAATTACAAGACTGTTATCACTTGCCAATGTCGATGCTTCCCAACTTACCTTAGATATCTGATATTATAATATTAATTAATAATAATTATATTATGTTAATCTAGATCATCATTATTTTCCTTTTTAACATATATAGGCATTAGCATATTAAATTATTAACATTATATGTATATAAAAAAAATGTAATAATCAAGGGGTTCTTAACAGAACCTATACGTAATTGATATGTTGTTTGTAAAATTATCACTATAAGATTGTTTATATAGGTTTACTTTTGTCAAAGGTCTAAGCTCGTAAATAAAATAAAATGAAATAAATAAATAAAATAATGATGAATTGTATGATGTTCATAGGTGGACTTTAAACTTTTGACTTGGGGGGAGGAGGCTGAATATACTAAAGACAAGCAGACCATTGCAATATAGCATTTTAAAATTGTATGTCCTAGGTTTTTTTTTTTGGGGGGGGGGGGCTTAGCTAAGCCCCCCTCCACCAATTTGCACATATGATGATGCGTTCTTGAAAAGTCTAATAAATAAACAAGTTACAAGGCATGGAGATTTGAAAATCTAATACAAAATTACTCATAAGTTTGTCTACCTTTATCAATAAAAATATCTCTACCGGAAAGTCAAATTAAATTTTTATGAGCGTTTGAAATTCAAATTTTTACAACATTGGATATTCACTCGATTTCTCATGTAGCGATTTCCTTATTTTGTTGTAATTCAAAAACGAATAACTGTAGATACATGAAAATTTCACTGAATGTTCAGATTAGCATTTCCTATACACTGAACAGTTTTGAAAATATTTTGACTCTTTTTGAGCTGTTTACGGACATATTCAGTTTTCAATTTTTTTTTCTATAAATATCAATTAAGTTTCTTATCTGTTGGGCCAAAACTTTAATACAAGGCTCCTGGTATATTGTTACAATAGCAATTGAAAAATATTAAAAATACATATGCACAATTTTTTTTTATAAGCATTTAAACATCGAATTTTGACAAAATTTATCAAAATCTCGAAAATTATCATTCACTGTAATTAATAAATTATAAAATGTTCAGTTTTTATAGCTAAGGATTGCAAATTTAAAACAAAGTTTCTCAATAGTTCATACTGTAACCAAAAAATCTAAAAAATATGTTATGAACACAGTTATTTTTTACAGACATTTTAAATTCAAATTTGGACGAAATTACATAATATTAAAATCAATATTAACGATCTTGCTTTTTTGTTGTAATTTAAAAATATTATTCGGGGATATATGAAACTGAAAAATCAAAATATTATGGCCTATCCATACAATCTACCATAGTATAAGGAATAAAAAGTATGCTCAATGATAAGACTGTGCATATTTTAAGGGGCAATGAATAATTTATTCATAAATTCCATATAATTTAATACCATAGATAAGTATATAATATTTTAATATGTCTTATACCTAGACTGACATACCGTCTCCACTCAGAATCGTTTTTCTTATACAATGATATTATATCATTGAATTCAAATTTAATACCATCCATTATACAGTGACCCACTTGTAACCTACAGTACAGCAGAGCGACATCCACTTACCTACCTTTTTTTTCTAAATGTAAAAATCTTTTATAGAATCTTTTATAAAGTTTTAAAATCTTAGATATAAAAAGACAATATTAGTGAATTATTGTGAATTGACAATCCCCTTTTTTTAAATTTAATTATTTAACCAAACAAAAACTTTTAAAGAACCTTGTATTACATTTTTAAGTTTTTTCATTGTTTCTTATTTTAATTTTGTATTGATGGTTAAAGAATAATTCAGGGAGAATATTCATAAAAAATTTTGTAGATTTTGTAGATAAGTATTTATATTTTATTTTCTATATTTCAATGTATAGCTTTTATTATTTAAATGAAATAAATGTATTTAAGAAATTTTCAAAAAATAAAACATTCGGCAAAGATTTTCCTTAATTCTTATCATAAAATATATTATGGTCACCATGTCACATATTTAAGTCCACGGATCAAGATACTTTAAGCCTTAACTATTCATTTTAAAAGTGGTCAAGCATACGTATGTTGGTTCTATCACAATCAAGTAACCAATTTAATTTTTAGAAATAATAAAGGTGGTTCCTACCTACATATAACTTTATAATAGAGAAGCATGCCCATTGCTCATGTAGGTAGTTCAGTAATGACAATACTTTAATATTTTAACAAAATTAAATAACATTACCTATATATTTTCAGCTATTCAATTAAAGTAGGTAATACAATTAATTATTTTTATTTTGTTATGAGTATAAGTAGTATAACTATATTTTTATTTCCTTCTCTATTGAGAATGTTTGAGAATGTAATATAAAAATATTACAGTAGGTATCACGTTTTATGACAGTATATTTCATGATAAACTAAATAATATAATATCATAAAAATAGTTGTGGGCCAGTCAGTACTCACTACTCACAGAAATTTTTTTTTATATGCAAACATCTTAACGCTTCTCGTATGAAATTGATTATATCATGTATAAAAAATTCAAAATATGCCATATTTCCCTAATTATTATAGTAATATAATCTGTAACCAATGGCAAAAGTGAATTCTGAATACTCAATAATATACCTACCGTAGGAATCAACACAGATATAAAAAGGACAGAAATAACCAAAATATAAATATAAAACACAAGTTTGTTACGTACATATATTTTGTGTAGACAGTTTATTTATCACTAAATAAACAACATTCAAATTAAATTATTAAATAATAACAAAAAGATCACAGTGATAATTTATAGAAAATAAAGTATACTCCTAAATAATTATCAAAAGAAACAAACATTAAAATTACACTTCATGTGTATGAACTATGAACACTTCAGCCATAGTGAGATACAACACTGTTCAGTGTAAATTATTGGTTAGATGATTTATCCACTGATCATGTAAATTCCATGTTACTGTAATAAGGCCATTAATTCTGGTAAAGAAAAAACAATTTTGTGACCAACTACAGAAGGATAGGAGTAATATCACCGCTACTGTTGTTCAACATTTTACAACTAACATAATATAATATATTATAACGGTTGCAGCCTAGCTGACAGATATAGTTATATACCAATAAAAATAATTAGGTAAATAAACCTCATCTCGCACTTAAAAACAATTTTATAAAAATCACTAAAAATTGTCATCAGCAATACCACTTGACACTGCATCAGTTTACAGCATCATGTTAAACAATAAATTATGCTTACATATCATTATAATGGTACCATACTTATAATATATAAACACTAGGTATCACTATTTACAACGGGATTTGTGTTTTACAATATTATTAAAAATATAGCTTAACGCCTTTTATAACTAAAGTTACATCTATGAACACGACATTTATTGTTTATTATATTTTGTAAGGTAAGTATTGCTATCATATATATAAAATAAGAAGTCTCGAAAAGTTTATCATAATTTTTTAAAATAGGTATTATGGCATACTGCAGAATGATGACTTCGTAAATGGCAAATCCTTGCCATGCGTGTAGGACAATAATGTCTATTGATGTATTATGTACACAACAAACAACAAATAACAATGGAAGGACTGAGCTCTTGCGTTCTCATACCCACTATCCAAACGTGTACATGATTTTACATGAAAATTCTGATGACTATCTATGATAATATGAGTGCGATCTCAACCATTGTGATCTCAACATTAGTTAGCATGTAATTTGTTCACCTAACCTATACATCAACTCTTCTATTTGATTTTGATTTTGTGCAACTTCAACTTAAACCCAAGTAACTCAGAAAGTACACCAGACAGAGCAGACAGGATCACTACTTTTATCAGCGTAAATAGGTACGGGTTGTCGGACAGACCTGCAATTTTGAACGGACTTTCCAATTCCTAAAAACAAATAGAACAAATATTTTTAAATAGTATTATCATTATATCAATCGGATATGTTTGTGCACATGAAAACTATGCTTTTATTATTGTACAACGGTTTCTCTATTATGAACAAAAATTAAGTAGCGTGAGCATAATTATATAAATGGGCGCCATTTATTTCAGCAGTTCCAAATTGGTACTTAAAAACACTCAATTATATTTAACTTATTACAACTATTAAATGTATTATGTTAAGACAGAGACAAAGAGCTAAAAAAATATTAATATTAATAACTAAATAATCAAACATGAGTATGTTTTTTTTTTATAATCTATACATATTATTAATATTAAAACCCTTTAATCTACTTTTTTAATTAGTACATAGATCATATAAAGAGCACCTATGTTGTGTCTATCAATATAGTATACATACAACTATTATTTATTTTATCAAGAGACATAACAAAAATAATAGTATTAGTATAGCTATTAGGTATTATAATGTATAAGATTTTTTTGATCTTTATACCGTGAATAATAAGTAATTAATGTATAAAAACCATTAAAACCAACAATATCAAAAACATTTTAAATTTTAACTTAATAATTTATTTTCAAATTAACTAAAAAAAAAATCAAAGTTATTTCAACAGTAAATTAAATTAGTTGTGTACTAACTGTTTATGTTAACTGTTTCATAGTTCACTCACTAAAATTTAAAGATTTAAATGTTAAAATAAAGGACTACTAAATTGGCAAAAAAAATTTAGTTTTTCAACTGTGCTAAATAATTGTCTAAGTTCACTTTGATTTTTAGGACTGCAATCTTTAAAATTGGGATAGGAACATTAAAATATTTTTATTGAAAAACATAAATGGTTAATTAACATTGGTATTCATTATTTATTATTATATTATGCATAAATAATTTTGAATGAATTTCATTAGTTTTACACATATAACATTTAACATTTGTTATAAATTTAATTAAAATTGTTTAGCCCCTTTTTAGTAAAACTTCATTACAAAGGGTGCGAAAAAAATAAGTTTATCGCTCATCATAATTGGCTGTTACTTTCTATGGTAATAAATAGATCTAGGACTTAAAGGCAATATAACAATTTAAAATGACACTTAAAATGTAAAAAAAGCATTTGTGGAAAAACGACTAAACGAAAATATTTTAATTTATAGGTATACACTATGTAGTATGGGTACTTTCATAAACATTAAATTAACTTGCATTACCAAATATACTCGATAAAGTAATATCGCCAATAATAAAACCATTTAAAAATAATTTTAAATCTAAAAAAAAGCCTTTGCCTTCAAATCCGAGCCATAGTAGTAAGTAAAAATCTTTGTCTAATCTTTATAATAATATTACAAATACAAACCGTGACGTATTATTTAACCATAACTGCGATCTCTTTTTTTCATACCCACTGTAAAGAAGTATCATCCACGTGTACTCACAACACGCACATTTTTTGTTTTATTAACATTTATTATAAAATGTAAAACTAATAAATAGTTTTTATATTAAGATAAAAATACTGTGCTTATATGTGTGTATTTTATTACATTTGTAAACATATTTTAAACCTATGAATATTGATAGGAAGTAACTATTGGTGCTCCAAAATACTAATAAGATGCCTTTAAGGAATAAATACCTTTAGTAAATCTGCAGCTAATTTTAAAACACTGTTTGCAACCATCAAGTCATCTTTTTTATTGGGTTTTTGTTCTATTTGCATATATAAATTAATCTGAAATAAAAGTAAACCATGAATGCACTTCTTTAGACAAAAAATTATATAATTGCTAGTTATACGATAGGTTATATTTAAACATATCTTAAAGTAAACATAACTAAAACATTCATAATATTATGCTAGCATAATCTAGGTCTGTATTTTGTTGGGTTTCTGTTTTCAAAAACAATTTAGATTGTTCTATTTATGTTGGAAAAAGTTGAGTTGAGTTTATGTTTAATTTTATTTTCGTGTCCTGTGTGGCCAGACATTATGAATGTAAATAAATTAAAAAGTTCATTACCAGTTTCTTTAAAATATTTTAATATTTACCTGTTCTGTAATAAGTGTTGATAAATTTCTATATTTCCTATTAATTTTTGTTCCCAAAGTCAAAAATCGCAAAAGGTAAATTCCTAGCACCATACACCATGCAGAAGACTCCAGGTGAAATTCTGAACTCAAAGAAAATGTATCCTATAACCAATGTAATTTTTTTTTTAAATTCATAATTTATAATATTTCCAATTTTATTTTATTTACCTTTAGTAATTCTACACTTAAGATTGCTAAAAACAATGATGATATATAGAACGAGGATGACACAATCACATCTACTGATCTTTGAGGTCCACGTTTCTATATAAACAAAGAGTAATATAATAGTAAGAAGGAAGTTTATTTATATAAATATTATTTGTCAATTTATTATAATCTATTCACTTAAGTACCAATACATATAATTAACCTACTTTTAAATAAGAGCGTATGGAAAGCCAAGTTTTGATATTCCGTACTTTATTTAATCTAAAATGAGGCAATTTAGATTTCCTAGCTCTTCTAAATGATGTGAGGTGTGAAAAGAACTTTGCATACAAAAATCTTTGTTTATATGTGCGCTCTGCTACGGTTAATAGGAAGAAGAACATAAGGGATAAACAAAATCGTTCTATCAAAGTTGTAATCACAATATATCGTTCCCTACAAATATAATGAAAACAATTAATAAAATATAAATATAAAGATTATTATTTATGTAATTTAATACTCTTTAACACTCACCAGCCAATAGGTGCAAAAGCAGCATTAACAATGGTAAACAATGCAGACAAATACTGCTTGTACACATACTCTGGAGGTTCATTCACAGTGATAGCTAAGGTTGGCAAAGGTTTGTCCTCTGTTAAGCTATTAAGTAATCTATACGCTGATGGCATTAGGGAAATTATCACAGACAAGAAAACACCTACAAAATATAAAGATGTTAAAAACTGTAAATGCAGTTTTAATGTAATACAATTTACCTAAGTAGAAGTAATCCATTTGTTCAGGAATCTCTTCAACTCTAGCAATGATTGCAGAACTTATATCTAATACAGATAAATCAGCTTTTTTTACTTCTTTCTTTTCCCACATTGTACAACTCACTAAAACCAAAACATATATTACTATTTACTATTTTAATTATTAATTAATATTAATATTATTATAAATAAAGCATTTGTAAAACTACGAACCAATCTAAGATTCAATTTATTATATTAGTTGATTCCAGTGGCGTAATTACGGGGGGGGGGGATTTGGGTGTAGTATTCCCCCCTTGACCGTTTTTTTTTTTTTTAATTTTCAAACACATTTATGTACTAATTTTATTAATGTATATTTTATAGATAATACAAAAATCACCCGAATCTCCATAATATTATATAATATATAATCATCCAACAATATTATCAAACAATATTATACCCTCTAAAAAAAAGTGATGGATTTTCCACATTATCGCTTTATTGGAATATTCCCAATCGCAACGACTCTCCGGAATCCGATCTCCGTTACCGACACCGTTAGTCTGTTAGTCAGACTGTTACTATGTTCTCATTTGGTAATAATCGGCTCTATTAGCTGCACTCCGCTGCTTAAAGTGCTTAATGATATAGCATTAAGACCACGTATAGTGTGGATCTTTTATTGTGATTAGTGATGTAACTATGTATCTAGGATCTAGGTATCAATCATAGACGGATATTTGGTTACATCCGTGGGGGGGCTTAACATTTTTGTCTTATCCATTAGCGTAAACATACATTTTTAAATGCTTCAACCTACTAACTAGTGGCTACTTAGTACTCCTACTTTGTTATAGGAGACGCACCAAGTTTATATAGGTATATTAAAATACACAATTTATTCCACATCTAGTGTCGTTTGTTACATTCAGGGGAGGGGCCTAAGGCCCCCCAGTTCCCCCCAATATCCACCTGATATTGGTATCAATAAAGTTAATATTTAAATGTACCTAAATGTGAATATCTAAATATTATGTTATTATTTATTTTAATGTATAGTGTATACAATATTACATAGGTACCTACAGATCATAATGGTTGTATATTTGTATTGAGAGGTGCTTATTGCTTAAATGATTAAAAAAAAAAATGTAGTTGGGGGGGGGGGGGTAATTGGTGAAATGTACATATATTTCATCCTCCCCCCCACAACCATGACCAAATTACGCCACTGGTTGATTCAATAAATTAACTTGAAATATTTAAAAAAAGTAAACTAGGTAATAATAATTATAATCGATATTTTATTATTAAATAACAAATGATTCAATGAATTACAAACTATACCTCGATCTGATGCCGCACAACTTGGGCTTAATATCACAGTTGGTGTCTATAAAAAAAAAAAAAATATCATGTAGTTTTCTGTCTTCTCACATAGCCAGGAACCTTCAGGAAAACAAAATAGTTTTAAAATAAATTGACAATAATTCACTTACAGTTTCAAATTCCCATAAAAATGGATGGTCTTGATTATCACTCAATAAATTAGTCTGTTCAGCATCCATATCTGAAGTAGAAGAACCTTCTTCAGTATTTGTGGTAAGACCAATCCATTCTCCAGCGCTAGTTGTTCCTTCAGTCAACATTGATAGTGGACAAGCACTACCTCCATTAGATGATAATACATCCCCTTCTTCATCCGTTTGACGACTAGAAGAACTATCTACATTATCGTCTTCATCGTCATCAGAATTTGTCTTTTGAAGGACTTGCAAACGATGGCTACGTCGTACAAGCAAACGCTAAAATAATCATATTGTTAGTAGGTATTTATTTGATATATCATATGCATACAAATTTAATATTAATCAAAAATTAGTAAATTACTTTTGGACATGTCGAACCATCATTTTCAGTTTCTGGTTCACTATCTTCAGATTCAGAATTAACCGCATACTGAAAACATGCAGATGTCTGGAAAGCTAAAAAAAATAAATAATCTGAGTTCAAAATAATAATTAAATAATTGGCAATTTAAATATATTATACCAGAAAGTCTACGGTCTAAATCAGCAATGGAAGCTTTAGAGGTTAATGGAGTTTTTTTGAATCTTAAACACCTCTTTTGAGTAGAAACATTTTTACTAGCTAGGTCATCCGTAACCTTTTTTGCTACCAATGTAACATCACATTCAACTTTTTCCACTAGTTGATCATGTTTGGGTGTACTACTTGATTGTTCAGCACTAGTGGACTCGGACGTTTGGGATGTAATAGTGGAACCGGTTAAAATATCTTCTTCGGGATTATCACTGGAGCCGTTGCCATTTAAACTTTCAAACCCATCATCATCATGTGTTGAGCTAGACGTATTAGGTCTCACGTCCATACGGTCTCTACAAAAAATTACATGAAATTAATAAACTTTAACCATGTTTATTGTTTAGGTAGATATTATAAGAACTGTTCTTACACTCCTCCTAATTGCTTTTTCTCATCAAGATTGACTAAACGTAAATCGGAACCAAAATCTTCGGGAACCAACGAAGCATTAACATCAGGTAGAGATTCCAGAACCCAATGACGTGTTTTTACAGGTGATGTATCCCATACAACAGTATGAGGTTTAGAAGCTTCTCCACTGAAACATAATCATTCAAAAATTGTTTAAAATAATACACTATAATGATTTAACAATAATTAACAAATATAGTATTAATAATTATAAGATACTTTATTTACTTTAGTAAATATAACTCACATTCTATTTCTTCGCTTCACATATTTAGTATCAGTACCAACTAAAGATTGAATACTTTCTACATTCATTTCAGTCGAATCTATAATTGTAAAATTTGTTGATTAATTTAGTACTATATTTAAAAAAAAATGTTGTAGTAAACAGTATAAACCGAGTATACTTGTGTACTATTATAGCCAATAATATAAATTTACTTTTAATTTTACTTGAGGTAGAATGCCCCCTTTTAGCATGTCTTGTGCTATGAGATCTAGGGGTTTTCAGGAAGTTCTTTTTTGAAATTGTAGTGGTGGACACAATTTGCGAATGAACAATGCTCAAAACAAGCATCATTATAAATGGACTCAGTACTTCACCAAGTGTTACAGTCTGGAAAAAAAATATTTTGTCTTTACAAATACATATCAAATAAATAAAATAATGCTTTCCGATTTATAAATATTGATAAATATTTCATTCACAAAAATGTTCAAGTTAGGATAATACATATTATTATGTAATTTATAAAACAATAACCATAATAGAAAACATAGAAGATAATTTTTTAGCTACATGAGTTCTAGTAATGATTTTTAGTTTTAAATGGTTTTCAAAAAACTCAGAAACTTATTCAGATGTAAAATAAATGGGCAAGTGGGTTTTGCTCTACTGTATAGTAGGTTACTGTAATGGATTGTATTAAATTTTAATTCAATGAAATATCATTGTATAAGAAAAACGATTCTGAGCGAAGATTGTCAGTCAGCCTATGATATTACTAAGTATATTTGATGATATTATTATTGCGAATAAAGTAATTTATATTTAACCTATTTACATGGAAACTGTGTTTTAAATTTTTAATCCTTAGCTAAAAAAGTTGAACATTTTATACATATTTAACTACTAAATAATTTGTAAATTTTCAATTTCATCAAAATTTGAACTTAAAATGACTATCAAAAAAAAAAACGTACATGTGTATTTTTAATACTTTTGATCTGCTATTGTAACAATATATTAGGAGCTTTGTATTAATTTTTGACCCAACAAATAACAGTCTATTGATATTTATGGAAAAAAAAACCAAATAAATTTAAAAAGCTAATATAAACAACCAGTGAAAATTGCATGTATGATGTATCTATGGTTGTTTGTTACTCCAACAAAAAACTAAATAAAACTAAACAAATAAAAGATACTGACATACTGTTGAAGAAAATCAAAGAAGTTTTACTGTCCCAAACGTCGATGACAAAAAATAAAAACAAAAAAAGAAATTTTAAAAATTAAAAAAAACACATCATTGTAAAATCAATACATTCATCGCTCCGCCCAGAATTTAAAATGTACTCAAATATTTTTGGGAAGTACCTATTTAGAATATCAAATTTTTCATCACTGACTTTTTCACTACGATTCTTAAAATTGTAACAATGGTAGGTGGAAAAAAAGCCCAGAAATATAAATATAAATGTGAACACTTGTATAATCTACTCCTAATTAGTAACTAGCACGTACCTATAACAAAATATAATTATATATTATCCATAGGTCCATATCCATTCCCCTAGTACCAAACCCCCTTTATAAACTATAAACTTGAGCAACGTAAAAGAAATTCATATAATATTTTTAATAGAACAAAGAATAACGATGATATTTATTTTGTTGCAATTCAATTTATATTATATTTATATATACTAATATTATAGGTACATTTAAATTTTTTCTTTACTTATATAGTTATATATGATTAATAGTTAAGTATAAGTCATAGTCAGACATATAATTATATTTAAATTTGAAATTTTAAGATTTTATTTTATTTTTTTTACATAAGAGTGTATATATATATATAAAATTGCCTATATTGGCCTCTTATACAATTAACAATTATATATTACTATTTACTAGTCATTATTATTTATGATTATAATCTGTTATAACAGTATAATATATTGTATATATCTCAGACTAGAAAGACTTATGTCTTTTTACTTATAACTTATAACACAATATATCATGATGTATACATATTGTGTTCATATTTATATTTATATTTGATTTACAATCTATATTTTTTTTTTTTTTATTGGTCTTCAATACAAATCTATATTTTATACAATTAACAATTAATTATTATTTTCATCATAATATATTATTATATTTTGTTATAGGTACATGGTAATTACTAATTATTAGGAGTAGAGATATTCATGTGTTCACATTTATATTTATATTTCTAGGCTTTTTTTCCGCCATTCGGCATTCGTAACAGTAAGTGTAAGACCATTAGCAACAAAACAATACCCAAGATTTCACTTAAATTCACACAACCCTTTGGTATCCATAATTTCGTCAAATTCATTTCATTTTCCTATAAATATTATGCACAGCGCCGCAGCCTGAAGCGACAATAGTGTACAAATTTATATGTAAATATCTAAAAACATAAAGTGCAAATAACAATAATATGAAGTGTATATTAGATATACCTATTTATTTCAGGCTATCAATTTTTTATTAGCAGACTTGGTAAAAATCATTAGAATCAACAATAATTATTCAACATTTTCTTAATATATTTTAGATAATATAATATACCTAGACATTAAGAAAACAAAATACTTAACACTTTCAACGCCGCTGACGCGTATACAGAGTTTATTCCATTGGGCCAGTGACGCGTTTACGCGTCAGTAACATGTACGTTTGTATCCGCCATAATTTAATCGATTTTATTTTAATAAACTCTGAAATGTACACAGGCTGTAGACAATAAACTCTAAATTTAAATCTATAATAGGTTTGAGTTTTCGTTATTATTAGATACTGATAATCGTTGTTTTCCTCGTACATTTGAAATTAACGATCAATTACACTTTTAATTTAATTTTAAACCAGCATTTCAGAACAGATTAAATTGTGGACAAAATAAATGATATTTTAGTATTGGAATGTGAGATAAATATAAAATCGAAGACCAATTAAAAATGTATAGGTATAAATAGCGTATTCTAATGACAAATTAAGTTGATAATAATTACAAGTAATTGATTTAGATTATAATTATGAGAATACAATAGAAATGTTTTAATTTTTGTTACTATACGGAGGTGTACGTATATATTATTTACTTTTTATATTATACCGTAGTTGTTATTGAATTTACAGGCAGAGAGGACTAGAGAAGCCAGGTTTCTGATATTAGAGCAATCTGATGTGTTTGATAAAAAGAGATCTAGCAAGCTAGGAGACTACGAAATAATTGTAATATATTAGATAAATCCATAATAATAATTTAAATATTAAAACTGAATATTATAATATGATTGATATCGATATGAATGGATGAAATTATATTGCTATGGATATAGCAATTTAGCACTGAGATTACTAAGGTGGAGAGGTAGCAGTGAAGTTGGGTATTGCTAAGCGAGAGGTGAGGATACGATTATGGGTTACGGATAGATCTCACACAGTTTATGAAGTAAGAGAGACATTGATTAAAAATAGACTTAAATTGGCTTTAAGTGTGTTGCTGTCAGGATTGCTTTAGGGTATTAAACTATTAACCCAAGGGAGACCAAAATTGTTATTTTAAGGTTCACTTTTAGAGTGGCTATTGTTGACATAGTAATAACTAAAATTAAACAAATTAAAAACATAAAAATAAAATCCCGTTGGGTTCTAATCAATAGATAAGTTATCTCTTGTGTAAATATTTAAAAAAAAAAAAATCAATTTTATGATAAAAATATTTACATATTATTTATTGTGGTATGTACAGATGGCAAATATCTTGGTTTTTTTTACCGTAAAAATATAAAACAGATAATTTTTATACACAGGCATTAACATTTTAAAATTAGTAAAAATTATGATATCGCAATTTATTATAATCCGTAGAATATATTTTATGAAGTTTAACACCATGACGTCATAATAATATAATAAATACAGAATAATGACACTTTATTAATACGTAGTTACAAACGTTGTGCGTAGGTACTTATCACTTATTAGTTAAAACGTATCAGAGTCCTTTGGGTAAAAGACAAACGATAATATAACGATATGATAATATTATTATCATCGATATATATTCTGTTTTATAGCTTATTATTTATTAATCTTAAACTATGTGACCTTTATAACTGAAGCATAAAAGTCTCGGAAATAAACTATTATATAAACGATCTTGTACAATACATTCCTTTTAATGTCTGTTATATTAAAGCTGTACACAGCACTACAGCTGCAGTACCTACACGTTACACTATAGAAACCTTGTATTTTACTTTGAATTAAAATACTATAATTTATTATGAATACAGATATGTACAGACAATAAATTGCTTTCGAGTGACTGACCGGAATAATAACGGACCGTCCGACGGTCGGCATTGTGTTGGTTCGCCTTCGCCCTTCGCTATACCTACTCATAACATTATGGTATCGATGGCAGCATCTGAATATCGTGTCGGTGTAATATTATTCAGGACGCCCAAATGTATTATATATTATTATTATGTACGTACAATATACATACATCACAAATCCGGGTGTCCTGGTCCATGCTCAGATTAGAAATTTAGAACGTGTAAAGAGTGGAACCCGACGGTCGACGGACACGACGAGTTTTATTGTCGGACAACGAGACAAATATAATTATTGTATACTATTCGTAGTAGGCCAATATAATAATATACCTATAATGCGGTTAACGCTCTGTTCTACGACGTGATGTTTTATTAATACTTTATAATATTGTTGTGTTACGTACCGGCGGTGTGTCTTCTTCGGTGGAAACAAACGTGACGTAACTGAACAACAAAATGTTTGCCAGTTCCATAACGTAAAGGCATAAAAGCGACAGAAACAATCGCCACGACGTCTGGTGTATGTACCATCGATAATAGCATGGTAAAAATAATAGCCGGACGATCGCCAGACGGGCTACAGTGAAAAATCCGTGTTTCGGTTTCGTCTTGGTAAACGCCGATCCTGTAGACAAAATACAATCGTTTCGATACAAATTACAATTACAAAAAAATATTATTTATATTCTAAAACAGTAATTAAAATTACAACTAAACGGATACGTCCACCGGTTAATCGGGTATGCGAGTTTCAGTCGTATTGATTTTGCCGAAAAGGTCAATGGGTAAAAAAATCAATAGACCTTAACCTCAGACCACGCAGAACCCCGTAGTGCATTATGGAGCAAGGCCAGGGTCGTATAGAGAATCTCTCTGATGGAAGCTATATTTATTTTCTAATTATACCACAACTATTAAAATATATTATGGTACATTATTTTGTACTGTACGTCTGCACCTACTACCATTAATATTTATATAGGTATTATATTCTAAAATCAATGCTACTACCAACCTCTAACTAAGTCTACATCAATAAGATCAGTCTTCAATTTAGCATTTTTCTTTGGAACATGCGTAAATCCACTCAGAATTCGTTGCTCAATCGTTTTTTCCCACTGTTGTTTATCATAAGTTCCAATTTTTTTTTGATACCTAATGCAAAAAATGTTATTATTATATATAATAATTTTACGTGCCTCATGATCTTTAATGTCTCACTAAATTACACACGTATTCGGTATTATATTCACTATTTTATATTTAACTACTAAATAATATATATAATAATCATTATCTACTCACCACGTGACTATTTTTTGTACATTACATCCCATTTCCTAAACTGATACACTAGCTTAATTTGATCTAAAACAAAATATAATATATTTTTAGGTTTACAATAAATATTAGGTATCTCTTAATTATAAAACAAACTGAATGCCGAATGGTGTTGTTCCATATTCCTACCCCATTCCCACAGCCGTTAATGGCATCCATATATAATACAGAAAAAATCATTCTAGAAATTACTTAACAGCTTGATAAAATTAATATCTGTTATAACTTGTAACTAAATTAGTTATATTATTTAATCGTTTGTTGGTTTACAACAATAAATTGTTTAAGAGGTAGAGGTATTATATTATTTTGTGAAAATTTTGTAATGTGGGTTTTACTAAGTGCTATTACATTACCACTGATAAGTGAATTCATAATTGCTGTCTGCAGATTGACGTATAATAATTTTAAATAGGGTTTTATTATTAAAGATTATATTTTTACTATATAATATAAAAATGAAATACATTTTAATAGATACTTATGATACTTCAAACGCTTTTTACTTCCCGAATGAAATGCTTTAGTCTTAAGTAGGTACCATATTTTTATTGATTTAATAAAGAATATAAAATAATTCGTTTTGTATACTTATAAGTTATAAGTTATTGTCAGTCTGAAGTTGTAATAACATAACAATAATATTATCATTTATACGCATTAGTATATTACACAACGTAAAATCATATTAAAATGACTAAAGCAATGCCTACCGTTCCTTTATGGGTCTGAATGTTTTGCAATTAACACCAGTTACTATAATAGGATAATAATTATATATTATATTTATATGACTGTTATTTCTGACATTGTAAAATTAACCAACAAAAAAACCATGTAAAACCAAGAAATTGAGTATGAACTATACGTGTGTCACGATGGTGGTTTGCAAGATCAGACAATGCAATTCCAATTTCGTAAAAATTAAACTGTTGATGTTTACAATTTTAGACATAATCACAGATTTAATATGATTATACATTTATACATATAATTTATTATATTATATATTATTGCCCCGTAAGCAATTGTTATCAATCGCTGTGTATAAATTGTGTAAAGAATGACAAAAATAAATACCTAACAAATAATATTTTCAACATCTCAGCATTCAATCAATTAGTATATTATAATATTGAATATTATTACAAAAATGAAAATAACAAATTAATAATTAGAACGTAAAACAATAAAAAAAAATATTTTAAGTTAAACTGTTGAGTATTATTAAGGATATAATAATATGAAAACCAAAGATAAAATATCAACAATTAATATTATAACAACTATTCATATGGATTATGGATGCCAGGATCCACATTGTATTATAAAGTGAAACAAGGAGGCAGATAAAGCAGCTAGAAATAAAATGAACTATTCCAACAGTGATATACTTTCTTTTTCTTCGCTTGTAGGCATACGAAGAAAATTAACAAATACTGCAAGGATCTGTGGAACACAGAATGGCACACATCCACAGCAAAAAGTAATTAATAAAAATCAAATACTCTGTTGAACTTAAATCGAAATACTTAGATCTAAATAAAAAAAAAAAGTTAATTCTCAATCGACTAATTATTGGCACATTATGGTAAAAACAAATCCACCCTTATATCCAAACTTTACAAAGGCCTGAAATTAATTTAACTTTCCACACAATTTATATGAAGCTATGGGTCCATTTTCAATTTTTTAAAGCATCTCAACATAATTTCATATCTTAAGAGGATTCCACCCGGCGATTTTCTGTCTTTGACTAATGCACCCACGACATAGGATTTTAGACGTGTTGTTTGCTAAACCTTTACGTAGAACAATCTAATAACATTTCAATCGTTAGCTATAAAAGTTGAACATTTTATAAATGTTGTAAAAATTAGAACTATACATGCTTATATAAAAAAAAAAATGGGTTTTTAATATTTTGTAACTGCTGAAGTAACAATATATCTATTATGAGCCTTATATGTTATATTACATTTTCACACTTTTTTACCCAACAAATAAAATTTTATTGACAATTATAGAAAAAAAAATAAAAAATTGAAAATATAAAATGCCCGTAAGCAGCTCAAAACGAGTCAACATATTTTGATAGTTGTATATTTAAAAGTACGACGAATATAAAATGTTGTAAAAATTCTTGTAACTTCAAACGCTCATAAAAATGTAATTTGACTTTCCGGTACATATTTTTATTTTGATAAATATTTATGAAGTTATGAGGAATATTATATAACATTTTCAAATCTTAGATTTAAAAAGAAAAATTCTTATGAATTTCTAACTTAAAATAATTTGTGATTTTTACGTATTTTGTCAAAATTCAAACTTTAAAATCTTAAAAAAAATTGGAAAATATTTTGAAAGTTTTATGGTGTATAGAATATGATAATATTCAGTGAAAATGGCATGTATCTACGGTTATTAGTTTTAGCGAGTTACACCAAAAACCAAAACCGATTTTGTCAAAAACAGAATTTTGCTTAAAAATTCGCGATTTTCCTAAATTATATTTTTGTTTTTACCAGCACTTTTGAAAACTACTGGGAATTTTGACCTTCCCGATGCACTAACTAGATTCACTTTCTCATCGACCATGATACCGAAGTTGAAAATCAAAACATATTTACTGCCCCAAAATGCGATGACAGACACAAAAAAACACATCATTGTAAAATCGATACATTCATCGCTCAACAACAAAGTGTGTACCAATTCTACATCTATTAAATATTCATATTATAATATAATAATTACATAATATATTATATTGTACAGGTTAAATTGTTCGACATAACGTTTAATATTTAAACACAATAAAAGATAAAACAGTTTTAAATAATACCAGCATAAATTATTAATTTAGAAAGGTAAGTATCATAAAAATGGGGGTACACATAATATAATACATGATGATTAAAAAGTCAAATAAAAATAAATGCTTGAAGTACAATAGCATTAGCCATTAGCTAGAAAATTCCAAATGGATTATCACATAAATCAAAATATTGTAAAGATGCATAAATTCAACTTATAAATCATAATAATAACTTGAAGAAGTATGATAAAAACAGTAAATTCAAAGAAGTATAATAATATGCAAGATCGTTATAAAATTTACCTACACAAACAACTATCTATAAATAATGTAATATGTGAAACATAATGAGAACTGTTAGAGATATTCCTTATCTAAATGCAAGCAATGTCAGCAAATATATAATTCCCATGAATTACTGTCACAAATACTTAGAACATTGTCAACTATATCAAAACGAAAATAATTTGGTCACAATGAAAAGTATTATTATAAGTTAATTATAAAATTATAACAAATTGTAAATAATTAAAAAGATGAATTGTCATATTATAGTATTATTCTCATTAGTCATCTAAATAGCCAAGAATATAATATTATTGTCGTTGGACGTTTTATTATCATCATGATTAAATTACAATAGAAAATGGAAAACGATGTTTGAATTTCTTAATCAAGAAACATCTACAAAATTTTTAATTAGTATATTATTATAATACAACATTGAACTAACTAAATAATACATTATTGTATTATATTAAATTCAGTGAATAATATCGTGTTAATATTATGTATTTATGTTTCTTAATATAATATTATTATTAGTAGTAGTTTACATTTCACATTATAACAAAAATACCTACACGGCTACATTTTAAAGAAATAAGAATAAATATTAAAGTATTTTTGAACCAGTAATAATATATCGATCCCACTTGTAAAAATGATATATAGGTAGTATCTGTACCTACAACTGGTTTTTAATCTATTAAACCCATAAATATATTATATTAATATATCTATGATTAAATCTAACAGAGCATAGGTAAATAGATTTAGACTTACTGTTTTTTAACTGATAACATTGCTAGGCGTAAATACACTGCAATAAAAATACATATTATTTGTATAATACTATAATGTATAGGTACAATTTTGTTTTACGTTTTAACCATTTAATTTTTTCCCATATACACGAAGAAACTATTGTTTGACAATAAAAATCGGGTAGGTACTTCATAATCATTTATCCTGGTCTTCAAAATCTGGTATTCGCCCCAAACTATACAGTTAATAAATTCTCCATAAACCTTAATGACCATACAGACTACAGAGTCCAAGTATGAGTGTCAACATAAAAATCATGCTTATCAAAATTTCTAATTTTTCAATCTAAAACTCCTTCCTATTACTATTATTTATCATTATGCAACAAACCAAACTTTGCACTCCGATTTTCCCATGCGGCATACAAACATAGAAGAAACCGCTATAAAAAAGCGTATAGTCACTTATACGTCGATACGACTCTTCCCCCCAAAATTATTCCAATCATCTAATTAAAAAACTGGCTGCTTAAAATCTACCCCACTGCATTGGCCCTTGAGACGCGCCATGATCACAAAAACATAATATAGGTAATAGGCATATGCATAGGTTTATACATCTCTCCGTTGAAAGTGTTGATAATTGAGTGACTTATCAGTTATCTTTCATGTAATTAGTTCTCGTAACATTTTTATGTTTTATGATTATGAATAATTTATGAATACTTAATGGTTAATAAAAAAGTCCTCCAATTATATTTGAGTAAAATTAAACTATAATCGTGAATGATATTTTCAAGATTAGATTAAATTAATAAATACTCCAATGCGAACATTTTTTGATAAGGATTACAAGACTGCATTATTGTAGACTGTTTATTGTAATTTAATATTATAGTAATCGACATTATAGTAGGAAATCAACGATCGTTTAAGAAAATTAAAAACCTCTGCACTTATAATTTTATCCAACATTCATAAAACTACATAGGAACAACAAATTTTCTAGATTGAGAATTTAGGACCCATAGCCAAGAAAATTATCATAGACTTATTATAATTATTTTATGTAGACACTACCAATATAAAGATCTTTAAATTACTCACAGCGACTGTTAAAACTATATTT